TTCCTGCCTGAAAGAGGCCGGGGCACGACCTGCCAGGCCGCAGAGGGCTCCGCTTTTCCTCAGCTGCCCCCAGGGTTCACCAGGGTCAGGTTTTCCCCTGTGAGTGCCCAGCTCTCGGCCCTGTCCTAGGGGGCCAGTTGCAAACATAGCAGGCACATGGGAGGGGGTCCCCTTGCTGCCTGCCCAGATGGCTCTGGGGCGGCTGCTGGGACCCTGGCTTGGGTTTCGGGATTAGGGAAACCCAAGCACCGTAAAGCACGTCGAGGCTGGGATTAGGCGGGCTCAGCTCTAAGATGCTTTGCTGGGCCCCATGGGCTGATGCAACGGCCTCTTCGCTGCCTTCGAAGGCACAGGTGCTTGGCCCGGAACCAGGACGTGCTGGGCTCCCAGAGCCCTGGGGTGGTGGGACCAGTAACCCGAGAGCTCGCCCGGGGCTGGGCCGGCAGATGGGGGGGCAGGGGAGACAGGGCGGCGGGCAGTCCTCTCACAGGGGTTTCTCAGGGGACTGCAAGAAGCAGTATCTGTAAAACAGCCCCACGTCCTGTCTCCTCCCCTCGGGGTGCCCCAGAGATCCAGAGCAAGTGTGGGCTCCTGGCGGGCCCTGGCTATGTGTGTGTTGGGGGGTGGTGGCACAGCTGTTGTCACTCTGGTTCCCTGAACATCATGTTGCTAGCCTGAGGTGAGTGCTGTCTGTGGCCGCCGGAGCCCAGGCTGTCTGCCTCACGTCCTTGGCCTCTGGCGAACGTTCCCATCACGGTGGGGCCTGGCCACAGGAGGTAGCAACACCAGTCACAGCTGCCAGGCAGGGACGCAGGCTCCAAGGAGCGCTGGGCCTGGGATCCCCCACGCTCACAGATGTCCCCGGGCCTGGCTGCGCGACCCGACGTCTCTTTCAGTTCTCTGCGGTTCTTACCTGGTGAAGAATCTCGGAAGACCAGCCTCCTTATCTCCACAGCCCGTGGCTGACGTGCCCCAAAGCTACCTGTGGGCCTCCCTCCTTCAGCAGCTTGTGTGAGGGGGCGCCCGGCAGCTCGGCTCCCCCCCAGGCCAGCCCGGGTGGAGCTGGGACGCCTGCCTGGGCGGCGAGCAGCAGAGTGGTGCCTGCAGAACCTTGGGGAACACCTGCCCCCACCCCCACCCCCGTGAAAGAGCCCAGCAGAGAAGCCACTCCTCAGGTGGGCAGAGCCTGTGTCCTGTGCCACCCCGCGTCCCCACCCTGCTCCAGGAGAGTGGCATCCAAGGTGTAGCTTTGCTTTATTTACCGATGCCTCAGCCTGGTACGGGACGGGCCTGAGGCGCTTCCCAGAGCTACCAGGCTTCCAGCAGGAAAGGCCAGGCCCAGGATGGTGGCAGAGGAAGGACGAAAGGAGGGTCGGACATCGGTGCTGCCCCTAGGAGTCCTGCCACCGTCTGGCTCTGGGCTTTCTCTACCAGGCACCAAGGGAAAACCGATGAGGATAGGGAGGGAGCAGGAAGCCCAGGGCCCCAGGTGATGGGCAGTGGGGTCCCTGGTGCCAGGAGGGTAAAGGCTGGTAGGGCCCTGGCCTGCGGGGGGCTCCAATGGACGGACACCTGGTCCTGTGCTACAATGGCTACATCCCCTGCCCTGTCCTTGATTCTTGTCTCTGCCCCAGAATGGCTGGGCCTGAGGTGAGGGAGGTAAAAGCCACGGCCCCCACATCAGACCAGAGGTCCACAGCCTGTGAGTTCAAGGCCAGAAGGGAGCATCTTCCCCTGAGGCTGGGGGCTGCCCCCAGCAGCCAGGCCCAGATGTTGCCAAGTAGCCAAGCACCCTCACCTTCTGGGTCAAGAGCTGGTTTAGACTGAGAACACCCTACTGCTGCTCGCTCACCCTGGGGGCAAGCTCCCAACCCGCCTCTGGCAGCGAGCAGGCCAGTGTGCCCTGCATATACCCTGACCGGGACCCAAGGGTGGGCCAAGTGGGAGCAGTGGGCAGGGACAAGGAAGAAGGTGGGTGGGTGGAGGCCAGGGCAGGTCAGGCTGGGCAGGCAGGGGGCACTCAGGGACCCCAGAGTAGAGACGGGTGAAGGAGTGGCCCCCAAGGGACACAGAGATGGGAGGTAGTCTGGGACCTGGAAGGCCTGGCGGGGTGAGTGTGCCAGTGTGGGGAGACAGGAATGGCCCTGGCAGCCAGGCCCCCACCCTAGCCCAGGCCCTGACCAGCAGCCCAGCACGGGGGAACCTCTGGTGACGTACTTAGAAGAGCTAGCTGCCTACATGTGGACTTCCCGTGAACGGTAGGAGCCCACCCTGCCAGGGAGCCCCCTCCCCAGAACGGGCCCAGCACCCAGAGCCAGAACAATCTGGAGGGCTCAATGGCATGGCCTGGTGGCCCTAAGCCTCGGGAGGTGGCATAGCTCCTGATGACTCGGGCGTCCGGTCTTGCAGGGTCCTGGGTCCGTGGCAGCTCCTGACAGCTGGGTGTGCAGCGGTGAGCCAGGGCCGAAGGTCCCCGTCCCGCCCCAGGGCCCAGGGTCCAGGCCACACCTCGGAGCTGCTGCCCACCTGAACCAGGTGAGGTGAGGCGTGTGGCCGAGACACAGCCAGGCGAGCCACCCTGGGGACCTCAGGGGCAAGCCCAAACCTGAGGCCACAGATACAGACACCCCAAACTGCAGGCGCCACCTGACACCAAGCTGTTTCTCATGGGGCAACTCCACCTGTGAGGGCCCCTGGCTGGGCACAGCAGTCACTTCCTCTGCCAGGCCTCCCTGCCATGTGAGAGCACAGCCAAGGCGTGTGTGGGGAGGGTGTCCCCCAGCCAGTACCCAGCGAAGCTGGCAGTCCCAGCCGGGCTGCGGGATGTGGGGGCGGCCCCAGCAGGGCTTGAGTGTCTGGGCCACCTTCCATGGGCTGCCGCCACCTCTTGCGCTCCCACAATCGGTCCCAGGTATCCCCAGCCTGCCCCTCTGGTTCTTGGTCCAGCCCTCCATGATAACTCGGCACCCCTCCTCCGTGGAGCCGCCTTCCAGGCAGCCTCAGGATCTTTGGAGACAGCAGCTCACGAGGCTGAGGGGGGAGAGGGGTGGTGGGTGACCAGAGGGTGACCTGCCCTGCTTCACAGCCGAGGGGTAGGCACGGAAGGGGTAGTCTGGCCCCTGAGCAGCAGCACCTCCCCCACCAACAACGTCATTACAAAATCTGGAGCCATGAGCAGAAGCGTGCAGGACATCGCCGGGTGGTTACAGGTCACACGGAACCATCTGAGGAATTGAAATCATATTTTCATTGCATCATAAAAACACGCCAAGGTGGCGGGAAGGTAGGCGTGGAGCCAGGAGAGCACCTGGCCTGTGCTGCTCTGGCCCCTCCCTGAGCTCCTTGGTGGGGATGGAGACAGGGCAGGGGTGGGCCCAGGGGGAGGCTTTGGGCCACACGGTGAGTCTGGACCTGGGCGGTCCATGGGACACGCAGGACAGAAGCCACCGTGGTCCTGCTCTCACTCAGACTGCAGCCCCGAGTGCATGGACGGGGGACCTCAGGCTGTCAGCCATAGGCTCCACCGAGCAGCAGGAGTGTGGGGGGCGTCCCGGCTGCCGAACCGCATGGCCAGGCAGGCACGTGCTGATGCAGCACATGGTCCCGAAGGCAGCCTGGGTGGTGACAGTTGCCAGCGTGGGCCTTCCACGGCAGGCTTTCACTCAGCATGCCCACTGGCTGTGACCCAGGCCTCAGCCCACAGTTTACCAGGAAGGCGGGGGGCCTGGGCCTCTTGCACGGGGCTGTCCCTTGCCCTCCCCCAGGAGCTGTCCTGTCCCCGCCTGATGGACAGTGAGGCTAGCGGCCCAGGACCACGGACGCCTCTCCGCTAGGGGGGCACAGGCTGGGTGATCGGGCCAGGCCCAGTGTGGGGGGCACAGTGGTTACGGACTCCACAGGTGTGCGGAGCAAGGCCCCTTCTGGGGAAAGGGTGTGGAAGAAAACCACGGGGGGGGGGGGCGTGTTGTGGGGTCATAGACACGGGGCTGGTGCTCAGCTGACCCGTGGGGTGGGCAGGCAGGTGGGGAGTCCCCACCCCAGAGACCACCTGGTGTGTGCTCAGGGCTCCCACTCAGGCTGTGTCCTTTCCACCGTCACACAAAGCCCCAGAGCCACTCCAAGGGTTCTGTTTGCCCCACAGCAGGGTTCCGGCTCCCCCAGTGGCTCAGCTGCCTCGCTGCCCTCTGCAGACCTCACCCTTTGCCTCCAAGGCAGGGGAACACCTCACCCCCAGCACGGAGGGAGGCCCTCCCCGCACCTTCCGAGGCAGGGGCGCGCCGCCAACCGTGCGTTAAATGGGACACAGCTGACGTCTCGCTGCACTTGTCAGGAGGGCGCTGGCCCAGCCCTGCACTCGGCAGCTTAATTGGGCGTCTGAGAGCTCCTGCACGCGCTGCACGCCGGGCGAGCGTCGGAGGCTCCCGCAGGCCCATTAGGTGCAAAGACATTCCTTTGTTCACTGACAAGCAGGGTCCCATCCAGGGCTCCCGGGCGGGCAGACTAAGTGCTGTTTTCTTAAGGAAGACACGAGATTAGCCGCCGCTAAAGCCCCAGCACAATGCGAGCCCTGCCCGTCACTGTCAGCCCGCTCTCCGCACTGACAGGCCGGCGGGCCCTGGGCCCATCAAGCCTCAATGCGCAGGATTAGCCTGAGCGCAGAGACAACCGGCTGGGAGGGCGCAATGGGAGCAGAACGAGGTGCCCAACGTCCAGGGGACAGAGCCCCCGCCACCCCTGCCAGCTCCCGTCACTGGGCCACAGCGCTGGTAGGTCCCAGCCCTCCGGAGCACTGCCTGGCTCAGACCTGAGCCCCGCAGAGGACCCTGGGGGAGAAGGGCTTGGGGGTCCCGAGGTGTGGCCGCTGGGGTGCCACCCTGCCCCCTGTGCAGCACAGCTTCAAGGCGGTTCCCGGACAAGGGTGAGGAGGCAGAGCGTGGGTGACAGGCTGGCGGCTGGGCCCCCCACCGGGCCCTCCCGGGGTGCTGGAGGCCGCACACACGTCAGGAAAACACCCTCTTTATTTACATTCCAGAAACGCCAGGGGGCTCGGACGTGGGCAGCCCACAGGGGGGTTTCTGCACACGTTGTCATCTTCTGGCATCGGGGCCTGGCGGGGCTGGTCCAGGTGGGAGGGTGCGTGAGGGGCTGGGGCTCAGCGCCCCAGAGCCATCCCTGCAGGGCACGCGGCAGTCCGTCCGGGGGCCACCCATGCCAACTACCTCGGGGCTCTCCAGGCAGGGGTGAGGCCTCCAGCGTCCTACAACAATGGGGGGCAGGGGGTCAGCATGGGGTAGTCACACGGGCCCTGCATTTGCCTGGCCACGTCTCCCGTGCCAAACACAAGGACCGTCTGGGGACAGAAGAGGAACGGACCCCAGGGAGAGCCCCCGCCCTCGCCACACTGACGCACCACAGCGAACCCCGTGCTAGGAAAAAAGATTTGGAAATGATAAAAATTTACAGCGGGCTCTGAACAAAACGGCTCTGTCAGGTATGATGTTCCAGGAAGAGCTTCCTCAGGATGCCCCTCGCTTGTCCGCGTCAAGGGCAGCCCTGGCTGGGGCAGAGCAGGGGCCCGGGCTGTGCCCAGAGAGGCTGCGGGCCCCGGGCAGATCCATGGGACCCTCGACTGCCACTTATCCCCTCAGGCCTGCTTGAGGGCATCTTGAGGCCCCCCACCGTCCCTAGTCTACTTTAGCCCTCAGGACCCCCATCCCAGAGGGGCTGACGGGGGGCCCCGCAGGCTGGGCTGCCAAGCCCGGGGAATGCTGCCACAGGGGCAGCCGAGTAGGCCCTGACCCCATGCAGCCTTCTGGCCGCGGTCAGGGAGGGACTCGCGATTTCCTCCTCCTCAGAAGAGGGCTGGGATGAACAGACCCCAGGGCTCCCGCCTGCCGCCCTCAGCCTCTGACAGAACCAGATGTGCACGGCTGCCGTGCACAGGGCAGCGTCTCCACCTTCTGGAAGACACAGAAAGGAGCCGATGCGGCTGTGCACGAAGCAAAGCTGGAGAGGGAGGGTGCTCCGGCTACCCAGCGGCCCAGGAGCTCAGCCAGGGGACGCCTTCCACACCCAGTGTCCCCCCACCCCCGACAATAGGCCGCTGTGTCGTGACCCAGCCCCAAGACACTTCCTGCATCTGGGAGCAGCCAGGCCAGGCCAGTGTCTGGGGGACCCTGGGGGGGCACACACGGCCTCCTTCCCCGGCCAGCTTCTTCAGCCCCCGCAGCCTGAGCACAGGGCTGCCCTGTCTGAAGCGGCACAGCAGGTGTGGCCTCCCACGCACCCGGAGACAGCAAATCACAGTGGCACCCTGCCCCCCTTCCATCCTTCAACACAGAGCCTACCTCGTGTACCTGAATCTGAGCCTCCGAAGAACCTGGCTGTGGGGCTACCGGTGTGCCACGGGCCCTTGGCCTGGCAGGGATGGCTGCTTACCCTCAGCAGCCTGTCACAGTGGGGTCCAGGCCCGAGCGCTTGGTGATACGCAGCTTGGCCACCTCCTCAGCACAGGTGGGGTGGATGCCCACGGTCCGCATCACCTGCGCATAGGAGGCTCCACACCTGCACACGGGGATGGGGGATTCAGGTCACGAGTCAGTGCAGGGTGGCGTGTCCACATCCTCCCATCCCTTGGGAGATGACACACGGGGAGGGCCTTGGAAGGGCCCTTGGGAGGGCCACGGCCTCCTCACTGCTCCCCAGCCCTGGCCCCAACCCTTTCTTCCACCAACACCTATGCTGGACCTGCCCCACACTGTGCCCCAGCAAATGCCAAGCAGCCCCACTTTGGGCCCACCTCCCACCTACCTCCCCCGCACCCCCAATCACTTGCTCCATCCTGGTTTCTCGCTGCTCCCACCCCACTGGGCACTGCCCCACCTCGGCCCATGGCTGGTCCTTCTGTGAGCCCACTCCCTCTCCCCACCTGTCCCAGCAAGACCGAGCCCACGGCTTACCGCTGCGGCCTACACCTGCTCAGCCCCTGCCCAATCCTGCTCACCTGATTTTCTCACACGCGTGCCCCCCACCCCCGCAGCAGCGACCATCCCCGGGGCACCTCCTCGGAGACACAGTGAGCATGGACTCCCCACAGGGCGCTCCCACCATCCACAGACCAGGCTGCAACAAACAGCCCTTCTTGCATCTCCGTACGCATGTCAGGATATCTGGTGGGTGAGCTCCTGGCACGAACAAGTGTGTGCCTTGTGGACAGGAGGCCCCCGTGGGAGGGGCCAGTTCACACTTCCTCCTGCGTCTGAACACGGGTCTCCTCACTCCACTGATTTGCTCCAACCTTCTGTGTCTCCACTGGGCAGATGCTGGAAACCATCACCACTGGACTGGACAGTTTCAAACCTTTTAACCCTCCCTGGCCAAAATGGTTTCTCAGTGTTTTAATTACGTTAAACATTTCTACTCTTAATTTTAATTTTCTTTTTCTGTGAATTGCTTGCTCGTGTTTTCTATTGGCTCTGTCCTGTAATTATTATGGTTACCTACCAGGACGCCTGGGGTGCCCCTGGGGTATCTGGACTAGTCCCTCATGGCCCCTGTCAGTCTTCCCAGGTCCTCACACTTCCCACCTCCACCAACCTCTGAGGCTGGACCTTGGCCACAGCCACAGGCCCCCAGTGCCTATGGGGCTCCAAGTGGCCCTTGCAGCCCCTCTCTGCTCCTTTACTTCCACTTCACCTTCCACCCTCCTGCCTCTGAGGACCACCCCCACCCAGGGCCTCCATCAAGGTCCCACTAAGCACAGCCCGGGCCCAAGACCCAGCTGTGGAAAACACTTGCCAGCTGTGGGGCAGCTCTCCCAGACCTGCCGGGGTGCCTGGCCATGTGAAAGAGGGCCCCCACCCTGCTCATTCTAAGGAGAGAATACCCAAACTGTGACCCCCCCCCGCCGACACCATGACCAGGGACAGAACCCCTCCCCTTGCCCTCCAGGTGGCCCAGCCACAGACCAATGTGGTATGGCTGGCTTAATAGCAACTGGCTGGAGAAACAAGCTGCCTCTCCTGTGATGGGACCTGCCACGTCTGAGGAGATGCTCTGCTGAAAACACACAAGGCTACGTAAGGGCGACATCGACGCAGCAGACTCCCGATTACCATGCCCCGCTCCGCTTTCAGAGGGACGCCAGTCTGAGCATCGCGCAACGCTGACATTCCTCTGCACTTACTTGATCCCCAGAGCAAATCCTTGAGTGACTTCGCCCGCGTTGGGACCGAGGAAGTGCAGGCCCAGGACCAGCTGCGGGGGCTTCCGCAGGCACACCATCTGAAAGCCACACTGTCAATGGTCAGCCCGGCTGGAGACGGGACCCCGGGCTGCATGGGTGGCCCTGGCCTGGGGTGCAGGTGGTTGCACGGGGCTTCCTCACCCTGGGTGCCAGCTCTTCCCCTGCCTCTCGCCTCCGGGCATGCCCGGCCCTGGACCACAAGGGCACTCACCTTTACGTAACACTGGGATGCATCCCGTTCAGCCACTGTAAACTCCAGTGGTTTATAATACGCGTGATAAACCTAAGTGACAAGATACCGATGCTTGGACTCAGCAGCCTCTTGGTTTGCAGGGATGTGGTGGGGACCCAGAGCTTCCCACATGGCCTACAGGTTGTGGTCTGGGGTAAGGACCGCCTGAGCTGGCCATGAATAGCGCCCCTCTGTCTCCTACACAAAGACAGACTATGGCTGGAGCCACATCGTCTGCAGGACAGAACTTCTCCCACCCAGGCCTGACACCCCCATGGACCACAGCCGCAGGGTGGGCACCAGACTGGCTGCAGCCCATGGGGTCTTGTCACAGAGCCCGAGGCTCAGCGCAGGGCACGGTGCCCCCAGGAGCACATGTCAGGTAGATGCTGCAGTGTGGACAGGGTGATTGCAGGCCGTGGAAGGGGGTGCCCAGCCCACCCGGCGGCTGTCTGGCCTCCCAGGGGTGCCCTGGGGCTGGCTGGGCCCTCACTTGAGCAAGGAGGAGGAGGTCGGCATGGGGAGGCCCCCGGCCCACACTGGAGCTGTCGGCCAAAGGCTTTCAGCACCCGAGAAGAGCTCGACAGCGTGTTCGGGGCTGCGGCCAAGTAAAAAATGAGCAGGGCCCTCACATGTGCTGCACAGCCATTATTAATTAATGGAACTTCAGAGAATATTGTTCTAACTAAGACAGAATTGAAAAGAAAACAAACAAAGGGTATTTGGCCATTCAACATCGTGAAACATAAAACAACATTATAGAATGCCACGAACATATGTCCCCATGTACTTGTGATGAATCAAACAAAAATAGCAAATAAAGTGCTGGGTGGAAAGCTGGCCTGTCAGGCCCGGCCCATTGATGGAGGGGACCGGGGCACTGGGGCAAGAGGCAGGCCCTGCAACCCAGTGACTCATTCCCAAAGGGCACTAGGCCCGCGGTGGTGGCCACATGGGGTCTGGTTTCTCCTGGTCCATCTGCAGGCTGCTGCAGTAGCAAGATGAGGCCACAGCAAAGGCTCCCAGCACCCACAGCCTGGCAGGTTTCAAAGCCTCCCCCATCATGCCAGGCCACCTCAGGCACCCTCTGGGGCCACCCCAGGGCCACGGCCGGCTGGCTGAGCAGATACCAGAAGCAGCCTTCCTCTGGGTGAGTAGCTAGTCAGGGCTGTTGGGGGCCTGTGAGGCCTAGCTGGCTCTCGGATAAGGAACAGAGGCGGGGGTGTCAGGGAGGCGGAGGTACCCGCGGGCAGGAGCAGGGCTGGAGCAGGGCCGGGGGCGGGGAGCAGAAGCCAGCAGATGACGGCTGGAGGGTAAGAGAAGCCTTCCCAGGTGGAGGGAGACACGTGGCCCCGCAAGGGGCCACACCCCAAGGGGGCCCTCATCTTCCGGACTGTCCTCCAGCGCTCCTGTCCCACAACGGCCATTCGTGCCGTGTCGCTGGGGCCCCCTGCCCTACCCTGCCAAACCACAGATCCTGGGGTGCAGGGGCACCAGCACTCCTGCTTGCCCTCCAGGCCCCTGCTGGGGAGGGGCTGTTATTGGGGTGAGTGCCACACAGGCCTTGGGGTCCCGACTTACCTCCACGTGCTCCTCTCCGTGGCGAGCCACGGCCTCCTCCTCCGACAGCCCCACACAGCCGTACTCCAGCGGGGTGAAGACTGTGGTGGGGACCTGAAAAGCGGGTCCCAAGTGAGCTATGCCCCATGGGACGCAGAGCTGAAGATCCCCACTCTGGGGCACAAAGAAAAACAAGGACAGGCCAGGTCCCCAGACATGCTGGCTACGGCCTGCGGGGGGGTGGGGGGCACCCACAAAGCGAACCTCACATGTGTGCACATGCACACGCGGCGGCACACGTGCAAGTGTTGGCACATATGTACGTGCGTGCACAGCCCACACCCTCTGGAAGAGCCGCGGCCATCCCCAGGCTGGAGGGCAGGGGGTACTCACGTTGTCATAATCCATCACGTCCGAGGCCTGACCGCACAGCCGCTGGGCCAGGAGCCTTCCTGCCATTATAGCCGTGGGTGTCAGCTCGGGCCGCCCCTGAGGCAAGGAAGGAGCCCGGGTCACTCTGGCACATCCGAGACTGTGCGGCACCCCTGCCACCCCTCGCGCCTTCATGGTAAAGCTTCTCCCTTTCAGTTTGCCTCTGGGTGCCAGGGCCCTCAGCGGGTTTGCTCCTTCTCCTGCTTGCTTGCCTCCGTCCGGCTCTGGGGAGACCCCTGTGCTTACGACTCCCTTAGCCGGAAGAGCAGGTGAGCTGCCAATGAGCCCGGCCACGCTACCCACGCTCGCCGGTGACTTCTCTCTGAACCCCTTCTTCATGTGGGTGATCTTGGAGAGCTGAAACCTCAACAAAGCTCGAAGGAGATCCTGCTACTATTCCCCTGTCCGCATTAACCGGGATTCACGCTAAAGCGGGCCCTGGAAGCATTTCTTGTGCTCCTGACAAGAAGCTTGGCTTGCACGTCACAGTCCATCACAAATCCCAAGTCAGAATGGTGTGCCGCTGGAGGGCCTTCTGTCCCTGGGTGTGTCCTGCTGGGGGACCGGGGCGGGGGGGCGGGGCACAGCCCCCAGTGTTCCTACACGCGTCAGCCTGGGACCGGCTGTCAATCACCTCTGCAGCAGCAGGAAATGCAGATGTTGTTTGACATTCCAGAAATGAATAGAGATCCGCAGAGATAAACTCGTGAAAGCAGCCCGCGCATTCCACCGGGCCTGACTGCGGAAACGTCCATGCGCACAGCACACAATGTCACTAGACAATGGCTGTCCCGCCTGCCTGCTGGACTCGTCCCCACCTCACCAGACCACTGGGGTGTTAACTCTTTTGATGGCCCAGAATGACCTTTCCTACTGAGTGGATTTAATATTTCAATAAATATAGCCTTTGCGTGTGCTATTTCCAGCACTACAGTCTGGAACACTATGGTTTCCACTACGCTGGCGCCACCCTCAGCTCCTGGGCTGTGCAGAAAGCCCAGTATCATATGTGTGGCACTCTCTCCCAGGACTACCGGTGCTGTGGCACACAGGATGAACACAGAAGGTGCCCTCAGAGAATGACGCGTCTCCACTGGCAGAGATCACACGAGCAACAGCACTGCCCAGTCATGCCCAGTCAAGCAGGCACATGAAGCCACTCACTTCCATCCACAGGAGCAGGCCAACTAGACGGTCAGAGGTGACTTGGTGGGAGGAGTGGCTGCAGCTCTGACACCTGCTCCAGCAAGCTGTCCTGCCTCCATTTGGCGGTCTGCTCCCTACGTACCATTTCCTGACCCTGGCAGCCTGAAGGACTCAAGTGGCAGCCGCTTGGTTCAATGTCAGCACTGACCACAGACAGTGGGTGACCTCTCTGGTACACTGGGCATAGCAGGGGCCATGTTGTCCTGGCAGGAGGGGTCTGAATGGGGTCAAGTGTCTGCAGGACAGACCTGTGCCAGATGGGGAGGCTGGCCTCTCAGGAACAAAAGGGAGGCCCAGGCTTGTGTGGCTTCCTGCCCTGGTCTATCTCTACGAGTATGCCAAGCTCTCTGGAAGACCCACCCATCACGAGCTGCAACAGAGGCTGAGGGAGGGATGGTCCCACAGCACTGGGGAAAACTGCCACCTGTACCCCTCAGCTCTGGGATGCCCCACCCAGGGACTCATTCACCATAGATACTGGTTCCCCCTACCCCCAGGCATTTCCCAAAGTGGGTTCTGGGGTGTGGGTGGGTGAGGCAGTGCTTGCAGTCTCGGGTAGGCACAAGCATCCTCGCTGAGCTTGCCCGGGCCCTCTAGCTCACTCTGCTCTTCCCTCAGGTCTCCCTTGACCGTATACTATGCATCCTCTGACACCCACCTGAAACAGTTCACTTACTTGTCATCTGTGACCCCGACCAGAATGCCACTATAAGGCCTAGGACTTTTATCTGTTCCTGCAGTGGCTACAGAAATCAGAAAAGTGGCTGGTGCCAGAGCACCTCATGGTGGGTTTAACAGCATCCCCCAAATTCATATCTGCCTGGAACCTCAGAATGGGGCCTTGTTTGGAAATGAGGCTCTTTGCAAATGTAATGAAGGAAAGAATTGAATCATTTAGGATTGGTCACTTAGGGTGGCCCTAAATCCAATGGGCTTTTCTCCTGAGAAAAAAGAAACAGGGACAGTTGCACACATGTACACACGTGATCACGGGCAGAGAGCGCTGCAGCTCTGAGTCTGGACCGCCTGCTGAATGAGCACACATCCTCCCCTAGAGGCTTAGAGGGAGCACAGCCCTGCCCATACCTTGACTGCAGACTTCTGGCCTCCAGCATGTGAGAGAATACATTTGTCTAACTAAGCCACCCCGTGGTGATTTGTAACAGCAGCCCCAGGAAGCTAACGTGTCAGGAACGCTGGCAGGATGCTGGCAGGTCTGGCCACCAAGAGGTCCGCAGGAGTCTAGGGGGCCCGGTGTATCTCTCAGGCTCCTTTGCCAGGGTCTCTCCCGAGCCACCTTCCTAAGGCCACGCTGTGCATGTACAGGATAGGCCGACGGCTCCTGAGGCTTTGGGAATGTGAGGGTCCCACAGCTGGCCAGCCATGAAGAGGCTACAAAGAGGGGTGCGGTGCTGACCAGATGCCTCCCAGGCCAGGGTAAGGCTTCCACCAGGGACCCGCAGGGGAGGACCAGGCAGGCTTGGTGAGTGGGGCTGTGTCCACATGCCCTGTCCCCATCTGACAGCCTGGGCAGGGAGAGTACTGACCCGCCCACAAGTTAGAAGGTAAACCGAGGCCAGGAGGTCAGCTCGGTGTTGCAGGGCCAGGATAGCCACAAGGCTGTGCCCAGCAGCAGCATTTCCAGGGCTCTGCACCTCCAGCTTGCCATCGGGAAGTCGAGGCCCACGTTGTGTGCAAACAGATGTCCTTCCCTCAGAGCCACACGTGGGGAGATTTCAGAATAGCAATTTGCTGATGGCGCTTTGGGTTTTTAAGCCTGCCCCATTGCTCCAGACAGAAAGGAGGAACATTCGAGCAAGCAGAGGCTGGTGACCAATCCTTCCCAGAAGTTGAGTCCAACAGCACTTGGGGTTTGGCCCAGAGGCTCCGTGAGCCTTGTTAGGTGCGCGAGGATGGGGGGCAGATGCAGGCTGGGGTTGGGGGATGGGGTGCGAGACCATGGGCAGGTGCAGGCTGTACCTCTGCTACGTCTCCGATGGCATAAATGTGGGGGACGGAGGTGGCCTCCTGAGCATTGACCAGGATCTTCTGACTCTTGGGGTTGGTGTTTACTCCAGCCTTCTCCAAATTCAGACTTTTGGTTTCTGGAATTCGACCTGAAGAAGTAAAGAGAAAGCTGAAAGACTTGTAGCAGGTCTGACGGAGATTCCTTGGTTTATTCAGAACACTTGCCAGCATGCGCACTTGGAATTGGGAAGACGTCAAGCACAGCAGCGTCAAGGGGCTCCCAGCCTCTGTGGGCCTCACACGCATGCACATCCACCCCTACACCTTTATCTGCACAAAGGAGCAGGACCCGGAGGAACAGAAAGGAAGGAAAAGGGGTGGAGGACGCAGAGACAGGGATAGGCCTTCTCTGTATACATCCTGCAACACAATTTTGGTTTTTAAATCATATACATAGTTTTTATATCCAAACAACAAAAACAAATAAATAAAAAATGGGGGGGGTAGTTCCTGTACCTTGTAAAGAACCTGAAACAAATGGGCCTCATTGGATATGCAGCTGATAACTGAGTATATACAGAGATAATTTGCTCAGGAGACTATGGGAACCCATATTCCCACCATGTGTCCTAAGAGAATTATGTCCAAACAATAAATAAAGCTGCAGACAGACCTTATGTGCCATTCAAAGACAGTTAAAACAACATAAAGTCAAATTTGAATTGGAAATTCATTTTTTTTTAATACAAAGTTCCTATGGCTTCTGACCACAGAAAAAGTCTAGAAGTAGTGACAACCCAAGAATGTGTGTGCCCCCTCCCTGGACGGTGATCTCAACCCTTCCCCACCACGGGGCTGAGCTCTGAGGAGCCGGCCCACATCAGGCCTGGATGCCCGGTGGACACAGCAGAGCATGATCAGAGGTCACCACAGCTGTAGCTGCAGACACCACCGGGCCCTAAGGGGAGAGGCCATGGAATATACAGAACCCGGGCCTCTCACAGAAGCTGTGGCTCCTGTCACATGTGCACACTTTCCAGCGGTGCCGGGATGCACGTGTGTGTCTCAGTCTCTGTGGAGCACCTCTGGGGGACGGCCTCCTGAGTCTCCACGTGGCCCTTCCTGGGGTAAGGCATCATCCCTCCCACTCCGCCCGTGACGCTGGGGCTCCCACTCTCCCACAGGGTGCTCCTCCTGTAGGCTCATACAGGACGGTGCTTCGTGGTGGATTAATGCTTTTATCCTGCCACCAGACGGTGTTTGCATGAATAAGCTGAGGCCTGCTGTCCCCAGTCAGGCAGCAGGATGTCCTCTGGAGGAGGCAGACTTACGTCCTGCTCAGGGCCGGCCCCACAGACCCTCTCCAGCAGCCAGTGCAGGGCTGAGCACATGGGGCTAGAGTCAGGCCGTGGGCAGCTCCACACAAGGAGCCCTCAGCTCCTCCGCTCGGGTGCCTGTGGCTCCTGCCTGGCCCACATCCCCAGCCTGGAGACCTCTAGAGCCAAGAATGGAGACGGGCAGAAAGAGCCCAAAACCAAGCACAGGGTGCGGTCATTTTGGCTAATACTGATGAGCACACCTTGGACGCAAAGGCCAGCAGGGGCAGGAGATGGTGGCACCGGCCTCCCTGCCAGGCTTCACGTGCTTCCAGCCCTGGGCCTTGTCACAGGGGCTGTCACAGGGGCTGCCAGCACAGGCGCCTTGCTCCCAGCCTGAGACAATGCAGCCTCACTGAGCCGGGGGTGGCAAAGACGGCCCTTCCTGTGGGGCCCTGGGAAGGCAGTGGCAGCCCCTTGGGGCTCCGGGGGCTCCCGGTATCCCCTGAAGGCAAAGACGAACGGTTTCAAAGGCCCGGTTCCCACAGCTCATGGTGGCTCAGATACACCAGAGGTCGGGTGGCGGGTGGTGCCAATCTGAACATCTGGTAGACCTAGTCCTGTGAAAGGGAAACCTTAAGTCTCCAGCTGCTCTCCCAGAGTGGGAAGTCAAAACACAGAGACTCAACTAAGCCACGCTTCTCAAGTTCACGGGGAGCCGGCTCTGGCCTCTTCACTCCGCTTGGCCGCAGCAATCAGGTGCTGGGCGGGCCGACCCCCCATAGCCCAGCATACCAGACACCGGTGGCGAGACAGGAAGCTCTGGAGGTCCCTGCCCTCTGACAGCACTGGGGCCAGCCCCCGTCCTGTGAATGGAGACGCACGGGCGTTCAGGGCGCACCCTGCCACACTGGTCAGCGTCCTGCCCTGGACGAGGCAGCCTGGGAACCCTGAGTCTAGGAAGGGACTAGAATGTGCTGTGCCTCAAGCAAGGAAGGAGCTGGGCCCAGTGGGCAGGCCTGGTGGGGGTCTGCGGAGTGGGCCGAGGGTCCCTGCAGGTAGGGAGGACTCAGAGTTGGGCCCTCAGGCTCTCCCCAGACCCCCAGTTCTGGCGGGCAGGCATACAGCAGGCACATGGCCTCCTGGCGATTGCTCCAGGCTGAGGCTGGAGTGTCCGAGGACAATGCTGGAGGCCCACAGACCATGGGCCATGCTGCGCTCCTGCCTGACCGGTCAGTAGAGGCCAGGAACGTTTCCTCCTATATCTCCTGGTAACCATGGGAACCACACACCTCATAGATGTCAGTCTAATCACATCCAAGGTCTCAAAGAATATCAGATGAATTTAAAATATCAAGATGCTGTTAAAAGGAACAGCAGTGGGGGTAGACAGAATGAATATGCCCAACTTGTGGAAGGCAGTCTACTGATACTTCTGGAAAGAACAGTGAAGGAAAAAAAAGAGGCTGCACCAAACAGAGATGGCCCTCAAAGGGCAGCCATGGGCACATCAGGTTTTGGAAGCTGTGCTGGCAGGGCCTGGGGTGGGGGGCGGGGAGGCCTGGGCAGGGGTCTAGCTCCACCCAGGCACCCCATTCTGTGGGGCCATGCCCCCGAGCTGTAGTAAGCCCCCGCCAGCTCCATGTGGCCACAACCAGGATGTGGGCCTCACTGAGCAAACAACCTGGATGTGGTCATGGAGGAGGGAGAGACATACCCCAGGACATTCCAAGTTCGTTCCCTTGTGCTCAGATCAGGTTCATGTCTCCCCACAGGTGCAGGGCCCCCACTCAGCTCAAGCCTGGAGCTCCCAAGGAAGACAGAGAATGGGTGCTGGGGTGGGGACCCAGTGGCTGGCCGTGCAAGCAGGGCAGCTCTGGCCCCACGGACAGCGCCCAGTCTGGGTCAGAAGCAAGACTCAGGCAACCCCCAAAGTCTTCTCCCTGACAATTTCCCTCATACAAAAATAAAGGTATCACTCCTCAGGCGATTTGGGAGAAGAGAGGAGTCCCCATGGCACCACCCCATGCATCACCCTGTATGTCTCACATAGTGCTTCCCTACCCCCAGCAGGCCATCCACCCCGTGCACTGAGGGATCTCTGCCCCCTGGGGCCTCAGTTCTTTGGCACCAGCTCTGGTCTGCCGAGTGGGCTGAATGGCTCTCCTGGACCGGCTCCCACATCTCCGCTCCCCAGACACCCCGGGATGGGATGCAGGGATCGTATTGGTTTAGTCCCTTGGAACGTGTCCTCAGAGGGAGGCTGGCCAGCAGGCAGGGCTTCCCTGGCACAGGGCCGGGAGCTGTGCCCACGCAGACGGCCCCTTCTTGGGCTTGCTCCTTCACTCCCACTGCTGTTGTCATTTCCACTTTGATTGCCAGCACATTTACCAGTATAACCGCGTACTTTGGGCCACGTATTAAGTAGCTGTGTTTTCTTGTGTGAACTTCCACTTTCTTGCCTTTTTGTCATTTATACGTATCTCCATGACTTTATTGCCTTGTAAGAGCTTCTCACATGATACTCAAATGACACTCCATCATATTTACCACAATGAGGGAGGGCGCTCAGATTCCAGATGCAAACTGTTCTCACTTTCTCCTCAGAGGCAATGTTCAGATAAACATGTGGATGGGCCCTTGGAGGTGCCCCCTTCATCAGGCTCAGCCCTGTCTGCTGACCTGAGCCCCCTAGGGGACCGTGTGACTCCTGGTGTCACAGAGGCAAGACAGTCCCTCCCTCCCTCCCCAGGCCCAGCAGCCAGGACACCCCGGGGCTCTGAAGCGGTGCAAGAGGCCGCATTCCTCCTGAGAGCTCTCACTGCAGCTGGACCAGGCCGGCCCTCTCCTCGCTACCCTGGAGTTCCACAGCTGCTGCTACCGGCCCAGGGAGACAGCCCGGCCACCACGCTCACCCAGCCAGCTGGAGGAGGCCGCAGAAGGCGGAAGGTCAGATACTTCCCAGACGGTGGCTGGCGGTCATGACTACCTCCTCAGCTGGACACAGGGATGCAGACGACTGGACACACGCAGTTTCCTCTGCCTCCTTCACCCTGTTACAGGAAGACGGGCATTCCCTCCAATTTCACGCCTGCCTGGAGCACACGTTCCGACGAGTGAAGGGCAATCCGTGTAATGAGGTAAGATTTAAGTGCCAGCAGGAGTATGACAGGGTGAATGAGGGGCTCTGATTAGACAGATGCAGTGAATGTGTAAAAGCAGCAGCCTGAAACCCAGGGCCGGGAGGACGGGGGTCCAGGAGCCTGGGCCAGCAACCCCACACAGGTTCACGGAGGGCCCACCCCGGGCACCCCTCCTGGGAGGCACATGTGTGGCTCCCCAGAGCCAGCTACTCCCCCCTCCCACGCTGGCCTGTGGGCACTCTGGGCCAGACACAGAAGGTGGAACTCATGCTTTTGGCACCTCCAGTCAGAGTTCTTGAGGCCTTTTAAAAATTTATTATATGTCTCTTATCATCTTTGAGACTTTAGGGCAAAGGATAATAGCAAAGGGCTTTTATTTCCATGAATGGCCCCTTCTATGCAAGCCCCAGAGCCCCAGCCACAACCTCAAGCCCCCCAAGCAGGGCAGAGTACATGGGCTTGGGGCCCAGGCAGGGCTCAACGTTTGCTGAATGAATAAGTGATCTGAGGCTGGCGGCTTACTGTGACCCCCAGCACCGGCCACTGCTCCCTAGAGAATCCTAAAGACCCCTCTCAGCGCCTCCCCTGCGGAAACACACAGGCCTTTCCGATTTAAGCCTTTGTGTACCACCGGCAACACATAAAACAGCTCGCGTGGGCTCCTAACCCCACAGTCAGCCCTGGAACTTG